TTTCAAAGAGCATGAAATAAGATGTAGTAATGGTGGTTAGTATGAGATTATTTAAAAAGCTTTAAAGTTAATTTTTTTATATATTATTTTTAAAGTTTTTAAAAAATTATATCAAATTAGAAATTTATAAGTCAGATGACTTTTTATTATATAAAGAATTATTAAAAAAAAAAGTTTATTTATCATATTTATAGCATAGTAAATAACAAAATAAAAAAGATCATAATTTAAAAGTGAACCATCTTATACAATATTATGACTTTTTCAATTGCAGATTTGATAATACTTGGCATACTTGTGGAAATAACAAGGAACTATGATTAATAGAAGGTGATCCTACCTTTGTTAGTCTAGAAAATGTTTGCTAATGCATTGTTGTGTGGCTTTGCAACTTGAAAAATATGATTTTTATATTCAGGAAATAGTGTATAACGTTAATAGTCATTGGAAATATCGTGATATATCAAAAAGGTATTATTTGCCTTCTGAATATATTACAATTAGAGAACCATCATGACCAATGCCTGTTTTTAAAGTATTTTTAGATCTATACTTTGATAGTTTTAGAATGTATAGAAACATATACCACTCTCTAGGTGATACTTACTTAAAGTTTGGAAATATGTCATATTTGGATCAAAAATTACTAAAAAATCATTTTTTGATTGGATTTGTTATATTTGGATCTAACTTTCATAATTTCATACAACTGATTATTAAAGATATTCAATGTTTAGAGAATAGCCATATAATGTGAACACTATATGGAGATATATGGGTTGTAGGCAGTATTGGATGTATTATATCTGATTTGCCTCAAGGTAATGAATTTGCTAGTGTTAAGCAGCATAGGCAAATATAGGATGCTAAATATATAATATTGCCAGTAACTAGCTTATCAATTTAAGTTGCAACTATGTTAAAAATGTATGTTTTCAACAAGAAACTAAGAGACAATTATCAGAAATTGATCAAAAAGAATCAAATGCAAGTAAAGAATATTTAGCAACAATGTATGGAGTAATATCTTTTGGACCTTTAAATGTAATTAAGTGGAATTATTACATCTAGACTCCCAAGATATATATTACTCTATGGCAGAAAAGGCTCGCACATTATTAGATGTTACAATTAATGTATTGAATACAGCTGGTAAACAGGCATTTATTACATGTTAGAACAATATTAAAAAGCTAACATGCTAGAGTCGTATGCCAAACCCATTGTGACATTATCAAAGTTTCATGTTTTCTGATATATTAAAGCTTGCAATTCTAATGCCATTTATTCTTTATTATTTTTTAAACCATAATTAAATCAAAGCAGATATTTTAAAAAAATGAAATGGTAAAAAACAAGCCAAACAATTGTGCATTTTATAGGCTACTGAAGCAAAAACACTTATGCTTGCTTTTTTTAGCTATAATGACAGAAACAATGTATCAAGAATTGCACGAACTATTGACGAAAGAAAATAATTTGCTTATTCAAGTTATGCACTTATCAATTTTATTATTATTAATTTGAATTATTTCTCATCTCAATATGAATGCATGATGGATTTACATATTATTAATCACAAATTATCACCACGTGAGAAAATTACAAATAAGAAAAAAAAAGACAAAAATTTGCAATAAATATTATGATTAATAAAATGTAAATTCCTGTCATGTGATCATAATGAGATGGGAAATAACTCATTTATTCCACCATGCTGGGAAAATATTTCATTATTCTCACCATTCTAGAGAATAAATAGTAATTATTCTTATTAATTATTTAATTTATTGTTATTATAGTTGTTTTCTGAATATTTCACAAACTTGCTGAATCTTCACATTGATGTTCATCTTCTAAAATATGCTAAAAACTTTGCTATATTAAAAAATACAGCTATAGGTACAAAAGAAATGATATATTATATCTTCAAAGAAATTGTTCTATATAAAAATTAAAAAATCATAGAACTTGACCTTACATGGCATTATAATATGATGCAAGCATTAAGACACATCATCGATATTTGGGAAGATCCTCAGTTTAATAATACTGCAGCACTTTCTAATCTTGCATTAGATCCACATCTTAATTAAATTTTTTCTAATTGGTATGCCATAGAAAATACAATATTATATTTAGAAAAAGAAGATAGAAATAACAGTAAAGAGCATCCTATATATCAAGATAAAAATTATATAAACATCACATTTAAAGATCAGTGGAGTGCTGAAAAATCAAAACATATTGGGTTATCAACTATGTTAAATGGGAATCATTTACTTTTTCAAGACCTTTATAAAACATATTCAAAATATTTTGGATCAAGAAGTGCAATATTAAATCGAAAGATTAAGTTTTACAACAATATTATGTACACTGTTCTTAATTTTGAAGGTTCTACTAAAATAAGCTTCACATCAGAAATATTATAGAATTAAAAAATAACTCTGAAGGCATATGCTATGCTAAAATCTGATTAATTTTTATGCATCAAGCTAATAATAGATATAATTATGCTTTTTTCTGGTTGATAGATTTCAAGACACAAACATTTTAGATTCAATACTAGAATGTCTAATTTATAGGATTAGATCTGAAAAAACTCAATTGTTATATATTTTTTTAATCAATTATGTCAACCACACCCTCAAGTACACTTCGTACATGTATGCATAAACACATGTAGTACTAAGCATAATGAAACAAATAATAGATATATTTTTAACAAATATTATTACAAAGTAATATAACAAATATACTTTTATTGTTTATTATACGTCATAAAAAATAAATCTTTGGTATGATATATTTCAAGCATTCAATTTTTAATTAACTAAAGCTGAATATAAAATAAAGTAAATTGTCATTAACTGTAATAATATACAATAGGTATAAAAAAATTTTTTTTATCATTATATAATTAAACAATTTTGATATCAGCAATTAATATTACGTAATTGTGAAGTACAGAAATAAAAAGTTTAATCAAGATTTTGCACTTTATATGCATACAAAATTTCAATATATCAGATATTTATTTTTAATTTTTAACCTTGGCTATATGTTATTGATTTCAAATTTTATGCTTTAACAGTTTTTGAGTTTGCAAATTTTCATGTATAAGATTTGTGAGCTTTGTAGGCTCTGTCAAATTATTAGTGTGTAAGTATTATATTTATTTTTTAAATTATTAATCTGCTTCATGAACTTGGAATTAGTTTATAGACTTTTTGGTTATTAAGATTCGTATTAAGGCTTGTACAATTACTTCTTTAAACATTATAACTTATAGATTTTTTAGATTTTTTTTAAATGTTAGGGCTTATGGATTTCTTTTTTTTTTATATCTAAGTATTCTTAGATACTTGAACAATAAAATATAAGACTTTGGGTTTCCTAATGCCATGTATAGTAGGGTTTAAACCTGAACAGATTTCAAACTCTGAAAACCAATTATTTTTAAAGTATTATTAATTAATTTGGGTGGCAAGTATTAATTTAGGGTTATTGGTATAGTTTATAGTGTTTGTGATGATAACTCCTCGATATCAACATATTAGCTTTATCATCTTGTAATTTAATTTCTTGAGTATTATATTTCATAAACAAAACTAAAAAAAATGGTTAGATATTGCACAATAGCTAGTAAGTATTAACAACTATAGAATAGTAAGTTAGTTACTAATTGATCTGAGATCTTGGGTAACCTATGATTGGCTTAGTCGAATAGAGACATTTAGATTTAGCGAGTGGTGATTTCATATCTCCTTTACTCGTAATAGGTACTTAATAAAACTCAATAATACTTATACTTTCAAATCACAAACAATTTAACAAAACTATGGCCTGAGTTCTTCTACAATAACCCAAAGCCAGAATCAAACAACTACAGAATCCACAGTCCATCGGGAGACTGGAAAACAACCTATACTATTTTTGGTACGTCGAGACAGCTGAAAAGTAACAACCATGGAAGAACTCAGTATGTTGAGAAACAACTGGACAGAGTTTTGGTACACTTTATATTTATCACGTGAGCAAGGGACAGCAATTGCGCTACTTATGCCACTTAAGTAGTAGATCAGGGTTAAGTATTTTTATTTTGAAAGGTATGGAGTTATTAGGAGACAGAATTACAGAAGAATTATTCTCCTCCAAGGGTAAGAAGCCTTTATTATTTACATTTTACTACTTAGAGCCAATTTTCCCCTTAAACCATCCAGCGGGCAAATTTGCCCACTAGAATTTTTTTTACCCGATTTTGTAAAATTATACCTGACTTTATTAGGCAATACCCTCTTTCTTTATATGTCAAAATGAAAGAATACAGGATTGTATATCGACCTGTGACTTTATTTAAAAAGATTAGAAGCACGATAAACATTTAGATCACGTGTAAGTAGCACAATACAAACCTTAAAAAAAGATCATTATCAATCAAAATTCTAAAAGCGAAACTTTGGAATTTTTTTTACTATGTCAAATATGAGTTCATCGCTCTCCCACGAAAATTCTGAAATATATGATGATGACAAGAAGAGTGAATATACACTAGTTCTGACATCCCACCAGCATTTCTTGAATAACTCAGAATCTGACAATGAGAATGAGCAAGAAGATGAGGACACTAAAAGTGTTTTCAAGAAAAATTGCAAACAAAAAGCTGCACCAAAATTGCCACCACCACCAACAAATTTTGAGCCACTGGTTCATCAAAAGCATCTACACTAGAGGTTTATTAATTTGCCCCCACAATATAATATCAGTTTTTCAAAACTGATCAATCTGTTTTTTCTTTTTTTTATAACAATTTACTGGATCAAATAGTTGTCAATATGAATTTGTATGCACTAATAAAAGGAGCTGGTATTCTTACTAGCAGGCAATAGACAAACATAGACCATAAGGAGCTCATTGTTTGGATTGCACTGGTAATTTATCAGGGCATTTTTAAACAACCTTCACTTAATCAATATTGGAACAAAGATCTGAAGCTTCCCCTCCACGATATTTCAAAACAAATATTACTAAAGCATTTTGAACAAATCAAGAGATATTTGCATATCTCTTCCCTGTAGTAGTAATCAAAAACTACTTCAAAAAATTGGAACCGTTGTTTTCACATATCAGAGATATCTCAAAACAGTTCTATACACCAGGTTCAAATATCTCAGTTGATGAAATGATAGTAAGGTTTTCAGGAAGAAGTATTCATACTGTTTACATTAAAAACAAATCAACTCCAAAGAGCCACAAGATTTTGTTGCTTTGTGAGTTAGGATATATGTATACTTTCTTGCCAACTTTACATGTTTCTCCAAATAAAGTAGCAAAAGTGGATGAGCTCAACCAAATTGGTTGTCAAGTTCATGATCTTGTTATACAGTCACAATACTATCGATTGCCATACAATCTCTACATGAATAACTACTTTTCTAATGTTCCTTTTTTTCAGAATCTTCATCAGATTGATATTGGTGCTTGTGGCACTGTTAGAAAAATGGCTTCTGGGTTTCCAAAAGAACTAAAAATAGAAAAAAATATCTGGTTTGACTGGGACGTACGTTCTGATGTCATAGTAAATGGGGTGTTGGATATATTTTGGCAAGACAATGGTCCAGTAATAATGTTGTCAACAATCCATGATCCCATTGGTGATGAATAGGAAATAGAACATGAACGACGGCAGCCAAGAGAGACCAGCACTAATACAACAAAAGTACATGCTGTGTTTGGCTCTGAATCAAAAAAAAATTAAAAATTCCAAGGGTAATTGATAATTACAACCATTTTATGAATAGTGTAGATGTTGCAAACCAACTGTGGTTATATTACAATAATCAACAAGTGGTATGAAGAACCTGGATGCCCTTTTTTTTTGGCTTCTGGACACCACGATTGTCAATACGTACCGAATCGCCTAAACCCTAGGTTCGACACAAGAGCAAAAAGAATTTTGCCTGAAATTGTTTGGGATCTGATAGATGTCGCAAATAATAACAAAGAAATTTAGCTAAGAAATGAATCGAAAAAAAATTAAAAAGAAAAATGAATGGAAAAAAAACCAAATAGCCAAAAGTGACAAAGCATTTTGAACTTTCAAACCAATGGTTTGTACCTGGTGATCATTTTCCAGAGTGGAGGCTAGGACAAGATTCGTTTCTTTGGTGTAGGTCAGTGTTGTCACTTGGCCACTTGACCGGCCATTGGCCGTGGCCAATAGCCGCAGCCAATAGCCAAAAAGGGCAAGAAAATTATTTGGCTGAAATGGCCAAATATTTTGTATAGCAAGGCTAGGAATATGATTGGTTAATT